AAAAAAAAAAAAAAAAAAAAAAAAAAAAAAAAAAAAAAAAAAACCTGGAAACATATATGTTATGCAGAAAAATAAACTAAACAACATTTGCCTCAACATGACATCCAAATTCTATACCAAATTTGAAATAAAAATTAAATACTAAAAATAAATAATAATAATGAAAATTATAAAAAATAAAACGACAATGAAATTATTGGATGGGCAGTGTCGTGCGCATCGGTCCGGCACCGCCCAAGGCAGCGCGGGACCCTCCCGGCCGCGTCACGCAGGAGTCGGTCTAAATCTTCGTCGCGAATATATATGGAGCTTCTGCAAGGCGCCCCGACCGAGTGCACGAGCCATACCTCTCGGAAGCCCCTACGACAGGATAGGGACTACGCAAGGCACGGCTTACCTCCACCTTACGGGAGTTGTCACCTCCCTTCGATGGGCGTATCCTCGCCGAGATACCAGTCCACAGTACGAAAGTTGATCAGTTGCAATCGCAGAGGTGGACTAGCCGAGGGTGTTTCTCGTTCGCTGTAGCATTGGGGGTACACGCGGTATTACGCCTCTATTGGACCCGCACGCAAACCAATATCTTGGGGGGCGACTTGTCCCACACGCCACGCGCACACCACTTTAAAGAACATAAAAATAGAAACATACACTACATGCACATACATATACAAAACGACTCAGAACAAACAACGCGACAACACTCTTAGTCCCTTAGTAGTCATCCCATAACTTTCCGATGCGGAAATCGGATAGGCGACGCACGCGAGACTTAGTATAAAATTGCGCGGACGCAGGGCCTTCTCATATCGACTAGCAATGCATAAATACCCGAGCAGTCGCAATGATGGCGTACTATGTAGGACCCATACTCATGCGGTCCTCGTTAATCTCGAGGGTCGTAGTTGAAACTCAAGTGTTGACTGACACTCGCCTTGAGAGATTGATTTTTCGACGCTGGACAACTGCCAAATGCGGTTGAAAACCACACCCTCTTCAACACCCTGCGGAGAGTGGGTGGTACACATGTTCATGCCTGTGGTGGCAATCGCCTCTTATGGCCCTGGAGACCAGCTCCATCATCCAGGGTCTGGGAAGAAGTCAAGGGTTTGACTTCGACGGATGTCACGGACTACAACGTCCAACTATAAAAATCAATAAGCAAAATCACCCAATAAATAAATAAACATCCCAACACTCATATATTAAATCATGACTCGAGATAAAGTAAAAGAAGGGGAGACATAAACCCATCAAGTATGCAGATCGTGCGGCACATGGTTGTCATTCTCACTGCCTTCAAAGTATGACCCATATACCAAGCTCCAAAATACTAATCTGCATAAAACACAGACACACACAATAACCACATTGCCATACACCAAGGTGGTCAACTTAACTTTTCCCTGTAACTCACACCACGCCTCACACACTCAAGCCCCAATCATAGCTCAAAGCTCCATAAATCTCATAAGTTATTTATAATGGTCATTTAAAAGAAGTTTGGTTAAAATCCTCAAAGAAACATGTCAAAACACAGGGCTAAGGCAATCAAGTGGAGGTACAAGTGTAAGCAAAGTTGTGTCGTGAGTCGACAAATCGGCGATCAACCAACCGACTTATTATCAGTGATAACAGAAGATGATCCTCTTAGGATAAGCTGAAAGTAGCCCAAATCTTTGATCGAATGTCCAAAGAAGACTTGTATCATACGACAGGTCAAAGTCCAAGCTAAGTCGTCAATGTATGGAAATCAAATCCCCATGACACGTTTTCACTCAAGACTCTCCTGATAACCAAGCCTAGGACTATCTCTAAGCCAGTACCCGAGGAAAGGCAGACCTATGGCAGAATCTCCCCCATACAGAGTGGATCGTCAGAGTCGCCACCAGTCAAAATATAATCTATCTCCTCTAAACTAAAAAAATTTCGGCAGCGCTTCCCGTAGGAAACGTGTCATTCCAGAATTTATATCAGCCTAAATATGAAAACAAAAATAATCTTCAACCTTCCAAAGTCAAATTTTGTCTAACTCCCTGAATTAGTAAAAATTTGGGCAGCACTCCCTTTAGAAAACGAGACCTCCCAGATTTTTACTAAGCCATATATAAAAATCAGAGAAGTTGAACTTTTGAAAAGTCAAATTTTGACTAACTCCTTGAATTTGC